AAGCCTTTTTTTTTGGTTATCTTTAGAGTGAACTTGATTTGCAGTTTTTCTTGAGTTTGAAGGTCTTTCAAATTTTGCAATTTAATTTTTGGTGCTTAAACTGTGAGAGATCATTCTTCTGCAGCCTCCCAGTTCCAAGATGGCGTCTAACAAGCAGCACATGCGACCCATTCTCCTGATGAGGACCCATGAGTACTTAAGGCTGCAGATGAGCTCAACTTTCCAGTGGAGCACTGAAATGCCAACTTTTATTTTAACTTTTAATTGATGCTTCTGGCCATTTTGCGTTGCATTCCTGTTGCAAAAAAAAGACCTCAGCACAGAAACGGCAACATGCTGATGACATCATAATGCATTTATGCATGAGGAGGCCAACGAAGGCGGCAAATTGTCCATGGACACTGCCAGATAGTTCCATAGTCCTGATAAGAGATGGTGCAGTGTCTATCAGCCGGCTCAGCTCTGACACAGGTCCCTAGATGTTCTTGGGAAGGGAGCAGGTATGGGAAGGTGGAGCAGTGTTTCCTGTTCACATAACCTAAGGAGAGTTTGATATAGTTGGCCAATTCAAGGCCAAGTGGGGAGCCAGATTCAGATAACAACAGTTATTTTGGGTTAGGCTGACTCTGCTTGATTTCTGTCTGCCTTTCATAGTTCTACTGGTACGTCTCAATGGCAACTCCATTCAGCCAAATGTTGTGGTTTACAACGCCAGGCCAAGCTTGTAGCTTCTCCAAGGTCAATTCCTTTCCCAAACTCCTGCTTGAGCCCCTTCAGATCCTGATCTCCCGTGATCAAGCCATTCACTGATGGACTGCCTCTATTGTCTCCTTGCCCTCCAGCCACTTGCCTGCCATGCCTGCGTCTCCTAGTGTCTTTGCTCTGGAAATCCTTGGGCCACATCCACGCTTGGTCCAGTCCTACCAAATTGTAAAAAGCAAAACATATTCAGATCTTTTTCAATGAGAAGAACCTACCTGACCTCTCTCCTTGCTTCCTAGGGTTCTAGAGACCTTACTTTTTATTGAAGAATATATATCTGTCAGAATTCAGGTTTTTGGATTCAGAATTCAGCCAGACAACATGAGTGTAAAAACAAAAACAAATTTATTGTTTTGCAGCTGCAGGTGGGAGTCAGGATCCAGCTGCGAGAACACATCTTCACAGGCAGGTGGAGTGAGAGCCACCTGTCGGAGCTTGAAGCGATGACGTCACCGCAACTGCTGGGAAGGCAGCTGCAGAGGGAGGCCTTTAATACTGCGAACAGCAGGGTAATCCAGGGTCCAAGCAGGGGTCAAGCATGGGGAGACAGAGATCCAGTAACAAGTCCAAATGGTCTAACCATAATTCAGAAATCCATGGGCAGAAGAAGTAGTCGAAAACAAGGGTCAGATGGGCAAAACACAATCAGGCGAAGAGCAAGCAGAGCAGTAGATCCTAATGATGAAGCGTGAGGTCGAAATCCAAAGAATAAAGCATGAATGTCAGGCATGAAAATGAACAAGAAGGCTGATGTGGGGGCCGAGATGGTGTAGAGGCAGGGCAGCCGGCTTGGGACCCGAAAGTCCCAGGTTCGATCCCCAGTCACTGCACATCACGTGGCGTCTCTGGGCAGCACACCTCATCCCCAAAATGCCGCCCGGGCGCTTTCAATAGCTGCCCACTGCACCACCTGGTGGTGGATGGGTTAAATGCAGAGACTAATTTCACCATTGTATGGAAACATACAGTGCTGACATTGTGATGACATTATTATTATTATTAATATCTAACACCAAGAAGGTTCGATAATCTGGCAGGGAACTAGAGTGAATGGAGATCTTAAATAATGAGGAACAGGTGTAGGGCATGAGCGCTGATTAAGCTGTGGGTGAAGAATGGTCGTGGTTGGATGACAGAGACAGATAACATAACATGAAAGAAGTAGTGGACACTTCTATAATCTGTCAGGGGATTTTAGTCAAGGTTTATGGATGTTTTTTAACTACTATGGCTGAGAATGTTAATTGCCCATGAACCATGTGTTTGAGTTACCAGAGAGTTCTTTTCTCTCCCATAGAACTGAATGAGAACAGATATGATCCTGCATGTGCAGCTGGATGGCCAAGGTCACCAGCTGTCCTGTGAGCTGGGAGCTGATAAGCGTATAAAAGCAATTCTCGCGCACTGCCCGTGGAAGATTCTCGTGACTGGACTCCATGCATGTAACTTCTGTGCACCTAACTTGTTGTGAAAGTCTGCCGTTGCAAGTAAAACCGGTTAAAAATCTTCTCGTGTCCTTGAGCGTGGCTTCTTCGAGTAAGGAAAATGAATAGAGGATGTTTTTATCCAACAATCTCCACAAAACTTTTTTTTTCTTGTTGTTGAATCTGTGAAAGAAAACACAGATTGACAGATATAAATATAGAATTGTTGCACCCACATGGTTATTCCCAAACAGTTATCAGCTAAAAATCAATACAAAGGTTGCCAGATAAGGAAAAATCAACTCATTTGTTGGGTTTTTAGTGTACATTTAGATGTTTGGGTTAGATGTTAGCTTCAAGATCAAGCTGAAAGGTGAAGTGTGGCCACAGAGCAGAGATAACCTGCAGCTGGACCTCTATAAAAGAAAACCAAACCACTTCTCAGCTTTTTGTGCATATTCCATTTCTTTTATTTTTTGTAGTTGCTCTCTGACTCGTCTGTCCATAGTCATGAGTGGACTCATGCAGAGAGAATGGAGTCAGCCGCAGACATGGAAGAGGAAGCTGTGAGGTCCAGTTGGCTGCGAGTGGCGGTCAATCAGCCGCAACAGAGACACAATCTGCAGCTCAGGAAGACGAATGACGGATGTGACAGCCGGAATGAACGAAGGCTGCATCGATGTGACCGCAGGGGGGGTTGCAGAGGACAGCCGGATCTAAAGGTGCTGAAAGAGCCAACAGACAAATCAGTTAGACACATCTCAGAAACAATATTCCTGCCTTTCTTTGGGCTACAGTTGAAAAATGTGAAGCTCAAATGGTTAATCTGACATTCTCTTCCTTTATGACATTTTGGGCTATTGTTGAGATGGACTGATTATTTAGAACTATAGTGGTGTATTAAAGCCAAGAAAACATGTTGTAAAGCTCTTTGAAGGCTAAAAGTTGCTCAAAGTGCAGACCATTTACCGTTTTATTTATTATCTGTGGTTACCCTACACACATTTTTACGCATTAATGACTACAAGACAATAACACACTGCAATCTGGGTAATGGACTTTCTGAGAGCAGCTGTTCAGTAAATGTTCCTTCATATATTTAAAAACCTCGTAATCCAACAGGCAGCTTCTTTCCCACATTAAGATAATCAAACACTGGCCACCTCTGCCTTCTTTTAACATGGTCTTAAATGAAAATTGTTGTCATGAACTGTTTTTTAAAATGATCTATTACAAACGAACAAGTCAGTTCTAGTTGCACAAGCGACTCGGTTGTTGAAGATGAAAGGAATGTGCCGTCAAGGCTGCAGTTATTAGTCCTGAAAGCATGCGCAGGTGCATGTTACCTTGAAGCACAGTGAAAGTTTATTCAAGCACACTGTGGTTTTAATTGAGTTTTCAAGGACCTATTAATTATTTCATGCAGCAGAGGTGCAGTAAGTGAGGTTCATGTCGTCGACTTGTTGTTTAGAGATGATGTCAAACTTGAGAAGTACTGAAGGTGGAATTATGCTGACTCGTGCCGGGATAGTAAACTGCTGCTTCAGGCATGCAGGACTATCTGAGGTGTCACAACTGACAACATACAGACATGTGGATGGAATGACACAAGAAGAAGAGTCGTGCACAGGAAGTTCATTTTTCATACATAAACCATCAAGGAGTATTATTACTAGAAACAAAACTGGATGCTGGAAGTTGAAGCCAGTTGGCGACCGGCTTCAGTAAAAAAATGAAGACCCGTCCTTTTATATAAACAAATGGGTCCGAGCAGTAGACAGCACATTAACTAAATAGTTATGCAAACATTGTTTTTCTCTTCATTCTTGTCTCTGGACACCTCTTAAAGCAAAGGTTCCAACATTTTGAATCATTTGAGTTCATCAATATCTTACCTGTTACAGACAGCTCTTTGAACATTCTTTGATGAGCTAAAAACTCATGTGTCAGACCATGACTAAAAGGAATTACAGCCTTTTTAAAAACAATTAAAATCTTCAAAATGTAGCAGATTGCACAAATAATTTTATACACTGCTGTCATTTTTTAAATTTTACACAAATATTCACATGCACTTCTGAGATTATCTGAAAGCACAAAGAGGGACGGCAGCAGCTATATATATATATATATATATATATATATATATATATATATACTTATATATATATACTTAAATAAACTACAACTTGTACTACTATCCCTACTTGACGGTTTTCACTTATCGCGGGGCTTCAGGGTACGGATCCCCCGTGATAAACGAGGGACTACTGTAGTTCACATAAAATACTTGAGTCTTATCCCTGCTTGGACTAGCCATTAACTTGTCAGTTCAGTTAAACTTTAACTTTATTTTTCCAAACTGAGGTAATTTAAAACATTATCTGCAACAGATAAGATATTAATTATTCGCTTTACCCTTTCCACAGGACCCCGCTTGAAAAACACTGTTAAATCTAAATTTCGGGTACAGGACGAAGCAATAATCAAAATATTTGAAAGTGGATTTGGTCCAGCATTGGAGAAATTCAACAATCTGGAAAAATCAGCCAAAGAAATAAAAGCGACTCGTGAATTTATTCCACCTGTCAAACCAGATTCATAATTCCCGATGTGGATGAAGCCAAAAACCAGTATCAGATTCTCCTCCAGCTCTTTAGTCTGTTTGTTTTATGCCTACACTAAGAATGAGGGATTACATGATAATTAATGAGCAGCAGGACAGACTGACAGTCTTGTTAACAGGCGGTGTGAGGAGCTGAGGGGAGGGGAGGAAACAGATGAAGCTCTGCTGCTGGAGGAGCTCACACACAAGAAGAGCGCAGTCCGATGGAGCGACAGCACGGCTTCTCTCTCCTCACATAGGTTCACAAAAGGAGAGTTTTACAAAAAAACCCATAAAAAAATAACGAGAGGACTAAAATCCTTCCCAACCCGGACAGGATGGATTCTTTACAGCTGCTTTATGTGCTGCTGCTGTACGGATGTCTTCCTAAAGTAAGCCTTTTTTTTCTTCTAACCATGAAAACACTGAAACTTCACGTTTAATGTAGTTCACAGCCACCAAGCTCTTATTTTAAGTAGATTTCAGTATTTTAAACCAATAGCCAATTTTCTAAAAGTTGCTATTTTCATTCTCTTTTTCAAGGATGTTTGTTTGTGTGTCTCGTGCCAACACATCTGACTTGTGAAACAGTTTTCATCTCCTTGTCAGTAGTTGAGTCAGTGCGTGTGAAGGTGAAGTTCTTTCAGTAGCTGCCAACAAAACCGATCTGTTTTATATTTAAAAAACGTCCCAATAATTCAAATTGATGACCGTATCCAAGGCCACACTGGCTTTAAACTGAGCTCATACAAACAGTTTGATTCAATCAATCTGCTGCTTTCACTTGCAGTCACTTTTCAGGTTCTGCTTATTCTGTTCTGCAAGAAAGAAAACATCAAAAACTACCAAATGAACTTTACATTTTATTTATTGATGCTTAATCACTTGGTAAATGTTTGGCTGATGAGTCTAAACCCATCGTCACCGGGTTTGAAGTATTTTTCGCTGAGAAAACACATTATGTGATTTAAAATTATAGTTCAAAGCTTTCAAAGTATAGGGTTCTGTGGCAATGTCATGAACAATTACTATTTTACCTGTTTAAGGATCTCTATTTGAATAAATCATTTAATTTCAAACAGATTGACAACTACAACCCATTTCTCTGCTGTACATAGAGCCATCTGCAACAAATAAGATATGAACTTTTTATGACCTTGCTACAAAGCTTAACTTCAACAAAGATCTGAACAATCCCTATACAGCCCCCTAATCTATATTTGGCTGAGTGGTAGAGCAGTCGTCCTCCAGTGAGGGAGTCGGAGGTTCGATTCCACCAATATGCAGTCACATGAAGTGTCCTTGAGCAAAACACTGAACTTCTCATAGCCTCTGATGTGTGTCTCATCGGTGTATGAATGTAATTTAAAGCACTGATTAGTCTTTATAGAATGATTTATTCAGATTAGCTTTGTAGAGACGTAGCAGAGTGTGCATTGGTGATTAAATGAGGGCAGATTATGTTGTGAAGCACTTTGAGTATCCTGGATGAATAGAAAAGGTAGAATAGAAACCACAATATGCTTTAAACAAATGTCTCCTGGCGCTATTAAAGGCTGATCAATCTTTAAAGAAATGCTTATTGCCCACTGCCTTTCACACCAGAGATCAAAACTAAGACCATCTTATGTTGAGTAATGCAGTGTGTTGCGCAATCTCATGCAATATTTTGAGAAGTCGTGGTTATAGTGTGTGTTAGAGATGACTCTCAGCTACTACGGCGTTAAAGTTTAGCTCAATATTTGTAAAATTATCTGAATTATAGTTATGTTTGTGTTTGGTAATGTAAAATAGCAGACATCTTGAATTTGATTAAAAGTTACCGTATTTTTCGCCGTATTAGTCACAGTTTTTTGCATAATTTTCATGCCCTGCGACTTATACAACGAAATGACTTATTAATGTTTTTTCCTCCATATTTATAAACCCATTTTTGGCTGAGATATGACCGTTTTCATTCATTCTGACATTGAAAATATTGACCATTTTCAGCCGCTAGATGGCACTTGAGTACTAAGGCATGCCGTTGTGTCATGTAATAGGTAGTGGCTATTAATGACACACTTGGCTTGCCATACAGCCACCTTCTTCTGCCTGGAGCAACCGTCAAATCAGCTTCATTTCGCTGCGCCGCCCCAATGAAATGCAGCTAATTTGACCATTGAAGTGCATTTATTAAGTAAAAGTTCAACTGAGACACACCTTTCCTATAATTTGAGCAAACAAATTATTGTTTTTAAGTGTTAATCTTGTAAAATTCTTGTTAAAATCCTCCCGTGCATGCTCTCGCGGCCGCCATTTGGCAGCCAATCGATTTCTGGCACAACACCCGCCCAGGTTTCCAGGTTGTCAGAGGTGACATGTAACAAACACGACACGTCAGCGGTGAAGCATAATAGATGCGATGTATATGTCAAAGCAACATATTTATGTTTTTTTCCACTTTGACATATTTGGACTGATGCGACTTATACGGCGGTGCGACGTGTACGGCGGAAAATATGGTAAGCAAGACCGATGTAGCTCCATTGAATACTCACTGAAAGGTTCATTAAAATCAGTCCTGTGGTTCATTAGATATTTTGTCTCAGAGAAGTTGATGGGGGAGAGGGCGGGCCCGGAGGCCATCTTAGTACCAGCAAACTGTTTTTTTTTTTTTTTTTCTGTTTGTGAGAATCAGTTTTGTTTGGTGGCTCCTCAGACTGAAGAAGTCCTTTGGATAAAGGACGAAACGTCTCAACAAAAAAAATTAAAGAAACCGTCCAGATGACCTGACTGAACATTGTTGCACATGGATTATTGCGCATGAACTTTGGTGAACTGATTCTAAAGTTTTAACAAAGATCTTGAACAATGAGTAGCACTTGTAGTGTGTGTTGGTATTGACTCTTAGCGACAGCCACATCAAATATTAACGCAATATTTGTAAAATTTACAAATTTCTGCCAAACGTTTGTGTTTTTTAAGGCCAGCATGGCTGTAGCAGCTATTTTGAACTTGATTGGCTTAAAACATCAATAATTTGTAGACGAACATCCATTGAATATATTAAAAAAGTTTCTACAAAATTAATCCAGTGATTCATGAAACATTTTGCTAACAGACAATTATTTCCTAATGAAAAATATAAGATGCAGCACCAGATTTTATTTCAGTTTCTCTAAAATTAACAAATTTAACCATTTTTTTATTTTTATTTTTAGAGTTATTTGGCAGCCCTCTTGAATCAGGTTTACTCCCAAAAGTCAAAGAGATGTAGATGTACATCATCTGATTACTTTCTGTAAATTTCCTTACAATTCGTCCAGAGGTTTATGAGATACTTTGGTACACACACACCTAAACACACACAGACACAGAGAAATAATCGCCCACCTGCTCCTTGCGGCGTACCATAAATATGATCAAATCTGCTCTTTGATATTGTTTAGATTTAAACTTTTGTCTACACACACAAATTCCAAGTGACATGTCATTTTGGACATGTTCGTGCTGTTTCTCACTCAGCTTCCACATGTCAGAGTTATTTCAGCCGTGATGAAGCTTTTCGTTTTTGTTTTCTAAGAGATATAAAAGATTATCAATGAGTCAGTAACAGGCTGTGACTTTTACTCCTCTGGTGCACAGCGTGGATTCCTTCAAACTCTTTCCACACAGTGAACATCCCCCCCTCACACACACACACACACACATCTGGCCCAACCTGACGCGTCAGACTAACCAGAATCGTCATTTGTTGACATCCTTTATGTGCCATTGGTAGCTGCTTTTACAATAACACACTAAGACATGTTTCATCAATTCATCAAGTCGGGAAACGTGGTAAGAAAATCACACAAGTGGTTAAAAAAGCGTGTGTTAGTGGTTGAATTCACTGTTGTCAATTTAACACTAAGCAGATGGGAAGGGGGGTGGGTGGAGGGGAAGGATGGGGAGTGTGGGCAATGATAATTTCTCCTCCTATCTGTATCCAAATAACAGAACTGACGGATTGACACCAGAAGCAACTGCTTGAATAAATAAAACCCCTCCTTATCTAAACAGTTTGTGCGTGAGCGCTGCCAGAGGATTTCCTGTTGTGGTTGTAGAATAAAAGATTAGGTAAATTTGGAGGGTGCGCATTTATCTGACATGACTGCCTTCACTTTGACAAGTGTAGGGCTGCAACTGAACACAACAGGCCATGATTACTTAATGCCCTTTCAGTATAATATAGCACAAGTGCAATACTAAGCATGTTGAGAAAGAAGATAATTTTTATTGCAAGTTCTGTGGTTTTAATGTTGATTCTACTTTTATGGGAATGTTTTATTGAGTTTTTTTTACTTTCACCTTCATCTGTTGGTTTGGACTTTTGACATGCAAAAACAGGAACAAACTCTTGGGGATTGTCAGGATGTGCAGCAAAACTGCTGGCAGAGCCCTACAGAACCTCACTGACCTACACAAGGTGAGGTCAGCGAACAAGGCCAGGCTGATTCATAATTTATGGATTTGGATTTGGTCAGTTGGTCCCTCAACACAATTGATAACATTTCTTTGAAGAGACGACAGGCTTTAGGTAAGGCGATTTGCCCTTTTGGCACGAACGCAGCTGGATATCTCATTGACTTGGAAGACTTGATGATGTGTCTATCTCTGCTGCCATTTGTGAATTTTAAGGACGCATATATAATTGGATTTATGATAACTGGTTCCTGCTTTTTGGATTCGGCTGGTTCCTGGTTTATCTACAATCAAGGAAGTCATCGGCAGAAAATCTGGACCTGGTCAGGCTGCTTGCCTTATGATGGTTTGGTTTGTGCCTTGAGTACCCAGACTCAAATGCTTTTGGCAGGATGGATCAGATCTCGGGGATTATTTTCAGGCACAGTTCATTGGTGTGGCCATTTTTATTTGGACGTTTCAGAACAGAGTGGACTGACTCAGACTCAAGGTCACTTGTCATTAAAGTCCTGCCTGTCCCCAAAACAATAGTGTTTATCGAGAGGCTTCAGATGTTATCAGTCCATTAAATGGCAGCTATTAGTTGTTATCATCCCCATATGTAGTGGTCAAACTGTCCTGCCTTCCTCCTAGTAGGTTTAAAGGTACTTTGTATGTTATCGTTATTATCGCTGATCATAGGCAGCGTCGCACGGGGGTAAACAGGAAGTGTCTTTTTATATTTTTTCCATCTTATGTAACCCTTTTCTTAAACGTAAGCTTACACCTGACCCAGAGGACCAACCCTAAACTGAACCCCCTTACCCTTGTGCCTAAACCTAACCAAGACCGTAAACCTAACCGCCAGACCTTTTACTCTAAACCTAACCATGTGATGCTATTATGAGCACTAACAAAGCTAAAAACAGAACCTATTATCATCGCTAACAACGCTAACAATGTACCT